CGCTGGTATTGTTTTCTGCGTTTGTATTTATCTTATATTCTGCTTCTGCTGCTTTTGCTGCTGCTGTGCTGCTGCACTTGCTGCTGCTGCTGCTGCTGCTGCTGCTGCTGCTGCTGCTGTTTGCTGCAGGGGAATCTAACAGCTGCTGTCTCCGAGGCGTATGGGTGGGACGTGCTGTTTGGGGTGTTGTGTACTTTTGCTGTTTTTAGTGGCTTGCTGCTGCTGCCGCTAGCGCTAGCTGAGCTGAAAAGAAAGTCTCTTGCTTAGCTGCTGCTGCTGCTGCTGCTGCTGCTGCTGCTGCTGCTGCTGCTGCTGCTGTGGCAGCAGCAGCAGCTGATGTGGTAGAAGCAGCATATGCTCAAGTAACAGCAGCAAATTATGACGCAGCAGATACAGCAACTGCTGCTGCTGCTGCTGCTGCAGCAACAGCAGCAGCAACTGCTGCTGTTGCTGCTGCTGCAGCAGTGATTGCTTCTGCAGCAACAGCAGCAGCAACTGCTGCTGCTGCTGCTGCTGCAGCAGCAGCAACAAAAACAACAGTTTGTTTATTATTGTCAGTCTGTGGTGGCCGCTGCAGCAGGCCCACACCCGTCATAACATTTTATTTTATAAATATAAATATAAATATAAATATAAATATAAATATAAATATAAATATAAATATAAATATAAATACAAATATAAATATAAATATAAATATAAATATAAATATAAATATAAATATAAATATAAATATAAATATAAACATAAATATAAATATTTAATTTATATATTAAATATTTATATTGTTGCTGCTGTTGCTGTTGTTGCTGCAGTAGCAACAGTTGTTGCTGCTGCTGTTCTTTGTGTTGTTGCTGCTGTAGCTGTAGCTGCGGAAGCTCTTGTTGCTGCAGCTTCTGCTGTTGCTGCTGCTGCTGCTATTGGTGGTGGTGCTGCTGCTGCTATTGGTGGTGTTGCTGCTGCTGCTACTGCTGCTGCTGTTGCAGTTGCTGCTGCTGCTACTTCATAAGCTGATATTTTATACATCTGCTGCTGCTGCTGCTGCTGCTCATTTGCCGCTGCTTCTCTACCGCAGTTCTGCTGCTGCAGCAGCAGTGCTGCAGCAGCCAAACCCTAAACCCTAAACCCTAAACCCTAGAAACGAAGACAAAACCAAAGAAAGATAGAGGAAACCCTCGAGGGTTAAAAGCGCCACAAGTAGCAAAAAGAAATCCAAGGAAAAGCTGCAGCTGCTGCTGTTGCTGCTGCTGCTGCTGTTGCTGCTGCTGTTGCTGTTGCTGCTGCTGCTGCTGCTGCTTCAGCAGCAGCAAGGAACTGCAGCAACAGCAGCAGCACCAAACAGCAGCGGGAGCTACTGCTGCTACAGTTGTGTCACAGCAGCAGCTGCTTCAGCAGTTGCTGCAGCTGCTGCTGCAGCTGCAGCAGCAGCAGCAGCAGCAGCAGCAGCAGCAGCAGGTTAGTTTTATTTATGCAAGAGAGGTACTGAAGGGTGTTTCTTTTCTCTTTCTTTTTTTTTGGGGTTTGAGGCTAACAGAGACTTGCTGCTTCAGCTGCTGCAGCGCGTCGCTGCTGCTGCTGCTGATGCACCGCAGCAGCACAGCCATCGCAGCAGAGTTAAACCGCAGCGCATCCTGCAGCAGCAGCAGCAGCAGCAGCAGCAGCAACAGCAGCAGCAACAGCAGCAGCAACAGCAAGAGCAGCAACACAAGCCTCAGTTCTGTTTTCTTTTGTAATACAAAGAAAAATAATAAAGACAAACGAAAGCAGATATAAACAAAAACAAAAACAGAAAAAACAAAACAAAAAAAAACAAAAAAACAAAAAAAACAAAAACAAAGAAAAAGGTAAAGATAAAGAAAAAGAGGAAGACAAGGAGGGAGACAAAAAGACAGACAGCAGCAAAAAGAGAAATAAACAAAGACAAAGACAAAGACAAACAAATACAAAAAAGCAGCAAAAAATACAAACAACATGAAAAAAAAGAAAAGATAAAGACAAAGACAAAGACAAAGACAACGAGAGAAAAAAAAGAAACAAAGACAAAGACAGAAATAAAAAAAAACAAAGACAAAGACAAAGACAAAAATAAATAAATTAAAAAAAAAAAAAACAAAGACAGCAACTCACTCTCTGCTGCTGCAGCAAAGGCCTAAGAACAGCCCGCAGGCGGATAACTAAACGCCGGTGCTTCTCAGAAGCAATAAATAACCTGAAGACACAACAAGCAACAAACTCCTGCTGCTGCTGCTGCTGCTGCTGCTGCTGCTGCTGCTGCTCTTGGTGCTAGTGATGTTGCTGCTGCTGCTGTTGCTGCTGCTGCTTCTGGTGTTGCTGATGCTGCTGCTGCTGCTGTTACTGCTGCTAGTGCAGTTTCTGCTTCTGCTGCTCCTGCTGCTGTTCCTGCTGCTGCTGCTGCTGTCACTGGTGCTGCTGGTGCTGCTGCTGCTGCTGCTGCTGCTGCTGCTGACCTGAAGTGCAGCTGAACCAGCTGCAGAGCCAA